AACAGCGGCGCGTTCGAAGCCATAGCGACCCAGACGGCCCGCACGGCATCAGGGGGGTGTCCTGGCCGGGCCCCCTCTGTGCCCGGGCCCCATAGCGGCCGCCTGGGTCGCTCTGGCGGTTGTTACGCCACTGATCTGCCCGTATCTTCGGATCTACTGAACGTTCTGTGTGGATGAGCGGAGGGGCATCAACCGAAACAAGACTTTCCCAGACAGAGGATTCATTTCCTGTTACAGGTCCAATAATCTCTAAATGAAATGGGTTTCCTCCAATTGGTGCACCCAGCTACAAAACTGAGGATGATGGCATTCAGCTTGTGACTTTACATAGAGATTGCTGAATCTTGTGCCGTGCTCGGTCTTCCCCTCCCCCTGAGTGACATTAAGGACCCAAAGACTACCTGTGGAGCTCTGGAGAAGAAGGCTGGTGACGTCCTTCTGGATCTTCTGTCCTGGGCGCAGGAAGTACAGCTCTGAAGACAGTCTAATGGGGACGGATGGCTTGTGGTTGTACCAGTGAATGATGTTTACTGCGGCCTGGACAGCCAGGAAGAGGAATAAAGACAGAGACCTGAAAGGGAAGGAAGAGAAGGATTTAAGGTGTATCTAAAACCCAAATCTACTTTCAGTATGTTCTCACATCACATCTCACTGTATACAGTTTCCTTCAGCAAACCATTTTTTGTGACTCAGTTTCTAAATTTCTAACATTGAGATCCTGCCAGTAACAGCACTTCCTGTTGGAGGCTGACAACGGTGAGTCAACGCTTCACAACGAGCAGCAGCATTGTCAGCCTGCCTTGTGGACTGCTTTAGTTGTCAGTTGGACTTCCTATCTGATAGACACGATGGGCAGCCCAATAGCCAATTGAAAGCGCACACGTTGCAGGATGACAATGCTTGATAAAAGACACCGCAAGCACCAAAGCAAAGCACTACAGAGCGCTGTAAGGACAACACAACCACTGCCGAAACGGCTGACGTATAAAATGCATTACATCCTGCCGCCCACACATTCCCTATTGGTAAGGAATGTGATGGGTAGACTCACTGGCCAAAAGGAAGGCTTGGAGAGGAGAGGCCACCGGGCAACTGTGCAGACTTCCTTTATAGAGCACCCTGGGGATCTGAGGCTCCCGGAGACGCCCGACGTTCAGACCCACAGCCAGCCAAGTGCTCGGTCCCCCAAAAAATGATATTTCACACAATGGTGACGTCTGGTATGAGGAGTCGTTGAAGAAATAGGTCACCAGCACTCAATAGATTCAAAAATAAATAAGTCCTTTTTATTGGACCATGGTGTCACGACAATCAGAAGAAGCCGACGTTTCGGGGCCACGCAGGGTCCCTTTCTCAAGGCAAAAGATGTCACATCAATAAAGGGTGAAGGTGCTCTCCGCACACCTTTCAGCAATCCCGGCCAGTACGAAAACGATGGTGCTTGCAGTAACTCCACGGATGGCACCGTGCAAAACGAACAGTTGAAGAAATAGGTCACCAGCACTCAATAGATTCAAAAATAAATAAGTCCTTTTTATTGGACCATGAGAAAGGGACCTTTTGCCTTGAGAAAGGGACCCTGCGTGGCCCCGAAATGTCGGCTTCTTCTGATTGTCGTGACACCATGGTCCAATAAAAAGGACTTATTTATTTTTGAATCTATTGAGTGCTGGTGACCTATTTCTTCAACTGTTCGTTTTGCACGGTGCCATCCGTGGAGTTACTGCAAGCACCATCGTTTTCGTACTGGCCGGGATTGCTGAAAGGTGTGCGGAGAGCACCTTCACCCTACTACAACTGGTATGAGGAGTCATCTAGTCCCAGTGGTGAGAAATCCCTTCCCCGGCTCCCGGCTCTATTGCCGCTCTTTTTGGAGTATCTGATCCACCCCAAGGGTGTTCCCGCTCCTCTAAATGCCTTCCCCATGGTATGAAATACATAAATCATCCAATGGGACCTTCCCACTGCTCCTTTGTTCGTTCTCCTGCACTCACTTTGCTCTTTCTTCCACCTCTCTGCGTTACCCCCATAAGCTTTGGGGGTTCCCCCCTAA